CAGAATACTAGAGGGCACTGTCGCCCTAGCACACAGGCGGGGGGGGAAAGGGGGTACTCATCGGGCAAGAGCCCTTAGTGCCGCCGCCCGGGGTCCACACCTTTCCGCAAGAAACCCCCGCCCCAAAGAGAGTGCTAGGCCCAGGGGGTACAGCAGTATGCAAGCTGTGGAAAGCTTGCACTTTGGGTTTAGGCTTTTGGGGTTTGGGCGGCATCTTTCACGCTTGGCTTCTTTGCAAGCTTCGCATGGTGCGCAACATGGACAAGAGCAGACTGGCAAAACGTTGACTTACAATTAGATCGCGGCTGGAGCGGAGGGTCTTCGACTTTCCGCTAGTAGATGAACCTGCAGCGTCCAGATGTAGGCCTAAGTGCCCATGGTCTTGCTCTGTCTGACCCAGGAAGAGTCACCAGATTCTCTTCACTCAGGCACAGGATCGAGGTGCCAATGCCACTGTTCCGCTGAACATTGCTGGAAGTCGGTGATTCGGCGGCGGCTCCGCACGCGGGCTACGTACTCTTCCATGGTTGTCGATCCGCCTTGCGAAGAGCACCCGAGTTAAACCCGTCCCCGTTTTTGCATGAAACGTTTCATGAAGAGCAGCCGCAGGCAACATCAGCTGGGCACGGGGAGCCATCATCTGGGAGGTCAACAACCGCCTCCGGGCTTCTGCTAGGAGAAACGATTCGTAACCCAGATTCTAAGTCTTTCAGCATTTACTCCGACCTGAGGCTTTAGCCATCATCAGCCGCTTTGCAAGATGGACTTTCCGGAGATCACAAGCTTTGCTGACAAAGCCATGTGTGAAAGAAAATAATACTGCCCCTGGACGTGGCTCACGAATCCCCTCCGTGAAGCAGGGCTGGGCGAAAGCGTCTTGAGTCGAATTTCTGGCATGCACAACACCTGCGAACCGTTATCCTGGACGGCATGGAAGCTGTGCGCACGTAGTTGTTTGCAGGCCTATCGTCTGAATGCTAAGAACAAGTTTGGTTGACTGCCCTCTGATCATTATCCGTTGGCTCATTGAAACTTGCTCAGGGCAGAAGTTAAGACCCTCGCAGATTGGGCAACATACCGTAACGAATTTGCACAGAAAGATAGGCCACACAGCAGCGTATGTGCGCCTGAATTGGTCTTAGGAAAATGGACGCGGCTTTGTTCCACAGGGAGCAAGCCGCAGGGCTTCCGGTGCATGAGGCGGACTGCAGCCAGCGGAAGTGCCGGAACAAGATCTCACATGCATCTTACGCAGTCTGATGCTGTCCACCTCGAGACTTGGAGGCTGATTCCAAGCATGCCCAATTCGCAGAAGAGGGCCCCTCAATGGGAGCACCAGCACAGATCCGTTTTGCTGCGCGAAACAGCTTCGAGGAAAAACTTGGACTGCCTCAGATGGTCTGGTTCTGCTTCCGACTATGGTTCGGGTTGATTCGGCAAGGTACTCTGAACATCTCTGAATTGCAACCGTGAACATGTCGAAAGCACGACTGCACCAGCGACTCCAGCTTAGATATGGAATGAGTTGCATGCACTGGAAACGCGAAAGACGACGTCAGGCAGCAGGCGCGCGAGCTGTGGCAGCCATGGCCGCCATGCAAAGAGGTCCCGAACAACTTGAACTCGCTGGCAATTCTGATGTAGCAGTGGCTGAGGCGCCGCGCCCAAGCGTCGGGCTGCCCAGCGTCGAGCCGCGCGAATCCAGGACACAGGTCAGAAGATTTGTGAGGGATGTGTTAGCGCTGTAACACCTGGAACGGCCGAATTACGCAGGTGGCACTGGCAAAGCCCATGCCAGCGACAGCCAGGCTTTCGTCGCACGTGTTTTGTGAATCAAGCGGCTGCAGCAAGGCCGATTGGCGGCACAGAAATGCTCGAGAAGCTTTCCAACTGCAGGAGAATGAAAACCAAGAAGTGAACCAGCCAAAGCAGCCAGATGAGAGGAGAACGGGCAGCATCGATTGCATTCAGAGTCAGAGTTCTCAATCCGGTGATTGCGCGGGCGTCCACAGTTTCAATCCGCGTGGCACAGGAAAGATCGAAGCCAAAGTTGTTGGAGGCATTCACTGCTTCGAGTGTAGCTTGCGGACCGTGTGTATGAAATGTTCCTCCGAGCATTACGTGACTTCTGAGTGCCATGTTGGGGAGTCGGGGCGGGGGGGGGGGGGCAGGGCGGTCGCAAAAAAGCTGCCAGGTCTTCCGGCAAGAAGCGAGTCGCGTCTCGGTCGTATCATCCTGAGCTTCCCGAACCTAACTCAACTCTGTCCGAATCATCCTGCAAGCCGCAGGCCAAGCCAACGCAGCAAAACCGAAGAGGTTAGCAGCCACAGCTGCAAAAGTCGCAAAAGCGACACTTCTCGTAAAAAAGAAGATTCGAACGACGAGGCTTGGCAATATGTTGTTGTGCACGTTGCGGCGCGTGTGAGTTCAACGCTTTTTCATCGTACACGGACATGTTGCAGGCGGAGGAAAAAGCTAGCAAGGCATCCAGTTTGTAGCTCAGCCAGAGGCAACGATCGTTCAGCTCATGTTGCTGAGAATTGGACTGATACAACCCAGGAAAAAAGCGCAAAAAAGAGAAAAAGAGACACAAGTCTTCAACCAAAGCAGCGGTCGGCTTAGTCCAACGGAAATTGCATCATTGATCATGCAGGATGCGTCGATAGACACCCAATAGTTTGCTGTCATGCAAGGCCAAGAAGCCACCAGCTGGTTTTTCAGGTTGGTGGCAGCAGCGACTGGGCATTTCAATTACCAGATTGTCAGTCTATCACCCAAAAACAAAGGCATCAGCCGTGTCTTTATTCTTGCTGTCTATAAACATAAACATGTATAAATAGTTGAACGTATGCACGAATGCAGGCATGCAGGATGGGTTTGTCACTGGGCAGGCGAGACGGACAGATCATATGTACGCGGGTTTTATAATTGCATGTACATACATACATACATACATACATACATACATACATACATGCACATAAAATTGCAAATGTCCATGTACGATGCTTGTGCGTCACAGATGTGCTCTTTGTGAGTTGCAGCAGCCATCTTCGGCATACTATAATGGTGCACCGTGGGTGGCCTTAGGCAAGTTTTGCTTCAGCAGCAGTGGGCTGCCTACTTTGCGAAACAGCGTGGGCTGCCTGTGGCCCAGACTTCTTCAAGTCACTGCTTTTGCTCGTCCTTTGGTCTGCACACGATCGACTGCAGGCACGCGCAGCAGGCACCCAATGCAGTGCCAAATGGCGCATACGGGGCACCGTCTACAGGACGGCCTGCAACCCATGCGCCACCACCACTACCACCGCCAGCTGCAACACCCCCATCAACAACGGCCTCAGCAGTTCCAGAACCTGCTTCACCCAAACGCCGCTCGCGCTGCCACCTCAGACTTCGGCAAGATAAGAACTCAGACAGCGTGACTTGCATCTGTAGTGATTCGATAGCTGGTCATTGGTTGCGCCTTAAACGAGTTGCCCGAAACTGTTACTGCGTTCTTGCTGGTGTGAGGGAGCTGGCAGCCGGAGTGGATCATAAAATTTGCGACGTCGTCATTCAAAACTTGATGGCCATGAATTTAACAGAGGTAGCCGCAGCTGCAGCGTGGAAGCAGAGCAGATGGCAGTGGAGGCATGCGATGCAGTTCATTTATAAGGCATTGCTCCAGGTTGCCCAAGCACACATGTTTCCTTGTACCCTGGGCCAGGACCCCTATCTCGTCTTTGACGAGACGGAGCCAGATGCAGAGCCGGACACCCCCGCTCCAGCACCCACAGCTCACACTGAAGGTATCACTGCGACCACAGCTTCCCCAGCACCTGCACCCGCGACATTTTCACCTCCAACTCCCCTCCCACCGCCGCCTCCAGCCCCACCACCGCCAAAGTCAATTTTCGACACAGCAATGCAATCAGACTTCCGGCAGCAATCCTTGTTTCTCGGAAAGTTGAAACGGATTGTCATAAGTAAACGTGGTTTTGATGTTCCCGCTTGCGGCCTGAGGAGATGGAAGCCGTGCGCCGGGCAAGAGCCCTGAAGCGACACGACCGGGATGCCGACGGCGCCGCGGCACAGGCAAAAAAAATGCAAGAAGTCACAAGCTTTGCCAGAGTTCGCATAGCAACATCGCTTCGTTGCAACAGCCTCTGTGCAGGCCATGGCTATAGAAGCCGCAGCCGCTGCCATCGCCAATGGCGGCACGTTTCCTGCGACAGGCCTGGAGCCTCGGAAGTCTAGGAGGATGACACGGATTGAGGCTTGCAGTTGGAGGCAGCTTTGCAGATTCTAGAAGCCCGTTGACACCAAGACACCCAGATAAGTGACGAGCTCACGCGGCCAGGCTTTCCAGCTCCCATGGAAAGCCACTTCCAAACTGTGGTTGAGCCTCAGGTCGCGAGCTGAGAGTCGCAGGGAGTGTTTTTGTTGAAAGACTGTCACCAGCGACTACCGTTGCTGAGGCCTTCACCATGATACCACCTGCGCCATCAGCCGCAGCACCAGAACGAAGGATCCCACCCCTGCCTCAAATCCTGCAGCCACAGCAGCTCTTGCCACCTTCACCCAATGCCGGCCCCTTACGTCCTCTTAGTTTCGAACGATGCAGGCTTCGAAATTGAAACGGGCACAGACCCGCCTTGTCAGGTCGACAGAAGCGAAGCCAGCCGCCGACTTACTGCACACGAGCCGCCAAAACTTATGTTTGCATGTAAGGCACTCTGTGCATGATGGCAAGATGAAGGTCGGTTTGCAAATGCAGACAGTGTCGGCGGTGGTGGTGGTGGCGGCGTTCATCCCAAATCCGTATTTACACAAGGCCGGCTTTGCAGTGATGAGAACTGAAATGATTCGATGTGATTTTCTCTAATGTTGACCCGGAATCTTGTAAGCTACAGTGCGATGACCAGGTTTCCAGCAGATGATCAACGGGCCAACACGAGCAGGGTGCCAAGCACTGTTTCGGCTGACGAGCTGCTGTTTTGCTTCGATCCGCTGACGTCGCCTGGCGACCGAGGCAGTGCCACAACTCCCACCGCCACCTCAGCCTCCACCGCCACCGCAGCCTCCACCTCCACCTCGGCCTCCACAGCCACTTTGCGCACCTCCGGCTCCGGCATTCCAGGCAGCTAGGGAACCAACACACGCGCCTCCTTCTGTGTTGCGTTTGAGACAAAAGCTGCAGCAGCCACAGCCACCACAGCAAGCCCAGCCAGAAGAAGCCTGGGGTGCGGATGAGTGGGATGGCGAAGATCACGCCCAAGACACCTGGCAAGCTCAACAGGAAGAGCCAGTCGAAGCAGACGGGGGTGCACACCAGGACTCATGGCAAGCACATCAATTCTCGCCAGAAGAAGACTACACCCAGGACTCAGGGTACGAGGAGCCAGAAACTCAAGCCCAGCCGGAAGAGGACATGGCTCCGGACCATGTGGAGGACCAACAGGACGCTCAGGAGGCATGGGACGATCAACTCGCCGCAGAGGACCCGAAGGACAATGCGGAGCCATGGCAGGATGAGACCTGGTCAGAATGGCAAAACGAGGAATGGCGGGAGAGCTGGCAACAAAGAAAGCAAAAGTGGCGAGACAAGCGCTGGCGGGACAATCGCGAATGGTCAGATGAAGGGCAGTGGCCAGAGCAGCCCGAGCAGGATGCAGGGCCCAAGCAGTCTTCGCAAAATGCTTGATCCTCAGACTTTCGTCTGGTTTGGCTTGTCTCTAAGGCGTGTCGGTCGTTTGCGCTCTTGGCGATTTCAGAAGCTTAGGCCCGCAAAGACATCGGCATCGAGCTTACTATACATGCATGGACAAGTCGTGGACAGTGTTTGTTTGTCATGTGCGTGCACTGGACTAGGTGTCAAAATAAAGTATCGAGTCAAAAGTTTGAGGAATGTAGCTGAGTCAGACCTTCGCAACTGCAAACTGTTGGGCATCAGAGCTGTGACGGGGAAGGCAGCCTGGCACTGCGGCTTTACGAGCGCTTGAAGAACGGTGAGGCGAGTACTTTGAATGTCTCAGTGTCAAATGCGGCTTCTGCGGTTATGCTGCGAGGACCTGCGGCCCAGCCAGCGAGAAGCCACGGAGCTTCCAGCAGCAATCCGATCTTCCAACTCGAAGCCGAACCTCCGGCTTCATGCGCCTATTCCACACGCAAAAATCCCCCCGCCGCCACTAGCACCCTGCACAGCACTCCCTGCGGGCACGGAGGCTCGGGCCGCACAAACCGCAAAGTCTATGCCGATATCCGCAAAGTCGGTGCCGATTTCCGCAAAGTCTATGCCGATTTCCCGAAAGCTGCCAAGTCCCCGAAACCACCCATCAAGAAATGCCACCGCTCCAGACACAACCCTTGCTCCACGGAAACTTTCCACCCCACCAGACACGACTTTCGATTTCATTGAAGAGTCCGTTGTTCCCGAGACACCAGCACCTGCAACCCACTCGTTACCTCGGAGAGCGATGCGTGGTATTGATACCACCGAGGCCCGGCAAGCATGGCCCTTGACTGCAAAGATGCGAAGTGAAGTTTGGTGAGTGCAGGTCGAGCCCGGCGCTGGGCTCCTGGAAGAGTCAGAGGAGGTCGGACTTGAAGCGTCACGTCGTAGACTGTGATTCTGTTCTTCAATGACAGGTGCATTTCCAGCCAGCAGACCTTGCGGCGCGGTGCTCAGGACCGCACGCAGGACAACTGCGTACTAACACCAGCCCGGCAGTGGCTCGGTGGGGATGAGCACCTCAAGCGCGGTGCGTGTCGACTTAGACGACTTGCAGATGATTTCGAGTGCTGAACCCTTTTCGTTTGAAGGTTCCTCCCGAGAAGCGAGCCAGGTATGGCTGACTCAGAGTCTCAACGTGTGCTGAAGCGTTTTACCATGCTTTTCTCGCCGTCCAAGACACCTGCCACACGTTCATCTGTGCTACACGCAGATATGAGCCAAGTCTTCCTGACTCGCAGTCCGTCGACGACATAAACGCACGCATCGTGTGCACGATGTGTGCGACATTGTGTGGCCAACCGTGTTTGAGTATGCCTTTGAGCATTGTTTTTGCGTGTTAATTCCAGGTGTGGCACATTGGCAAAGGATGACAGAACATGCATGTACTAGCTGAGTGCCTGTGATGTACCTCAGTTCGCTCTAGAATTACCCTGAGCCAGTGACCACGGCCGAAAGAGGGATGTGCTTGAGCCTTCAGCAAGCGTAGTTCATGTCGCATCGGCCTGCTTGCTATTGCTTCTGAAGTGCGGATGCTTCGGTTCACTTCGCCCGCTGTGAGCCGAAGATATTTGCAAAGTCTTGGTGAGTTCTTGACGTGCTGTCCGTCGACGATGAAATCTCACTCGTCGTGCACACGCTGTGGCTGTCAAATGAGCATGCTGAGCATTTGTTTGCGGTTTGGTTCCAGGCATCGCACATTAGCAAAGGATGACA